GTTGTGACAGGACAAGGATTACTGGTTTTAAACTAAAGGAGGATAGATTTAGACTAGAGATAAGGAAGAAATTTTTTGCAGTGAGGGTGGTGAAGCACTGGAACAGGTTGCCCAGAGAGGTGGTAGAGGCCCCATCCCTGGAAACCTTCAAGGTCAGGTTGGATGGGGCACTGAGCAACCTGATGTGGTTAAAGCTGTCCCTGCTCCCTGCAGGGGGGTTGGGCTAAATGATCTCTAAAGGTCCCTTCCAACCCAAAGCATTCTATGATTCCACTGTAACTTTCAACATTACAGGCATGTTCGGTTTACCTTTTTTTTTTTTGAGATTTAAATACAGGCTTTGATGTTTAAGATTATTTTAAATCTGTTGGACATTTGGACTTCATTTGTTAATTCTTGAGGTATTTTAGATTCTTTCATGGCTTCAGTATTTCCTTGTCTCTTCACAGGACCACAGCTGAATGCACAACTAGAAGGCTGGCTTTCTCAAGTACAGTCCACAAAGAGACCTGCTAGAGCCATTATTGCACCGTAAGTTTGAAATCTGTTTTTAGTGTATGCAATACTTGATTAGTTAAATGCTTCTTTATTTTGAGTGATTTTGAAAACTGGTGAAAGCTAATTTTTAGCTGAAAGGCATGTCATGTGGTTTCTAAGTAAGTATTTTGGATATGGCATGGAATGGAAGAAATCTGTGCACATTTTGGTATATGATTAGTTTCATTTTGCTGATGGGCTGAAGATATAACATTCACTTGTGATTCAGTAAGACAGATAAGAGCTGTATTAGTGGAGTGGTAGTCTAAAGATGACAGCTCTTTCAGTGCACTTCTGGTATAGAACATCTATACATATTAAAAAAAACCCAACCCAAACAAAAAACCCAACCAAAAAACGCAACCAAACACCCCCCACCAAACCCCACAAAACAAATAAACAAAACACCAACATCACCTCCAAATCAAAACTTAGCAAGGCTTAAAACAAAAGTAATGAAACACTGTTCAGCTATTCAAAATGGTTTACTTTTGTTACTTTAGTTTGGTTTTGTTTGGGTTTTTTTGTCCAAAGGAGTAATAGGGATCATCTAAACTACTTAGGTAGAATTCAATTTACCGAAGATGGTTGAGACATATAATAAGAAAAGTATGTTGGTCATTCCAATTTATTGTGAGTTGAAAGGAAACACTAGAAAAAGCACCTTAAAAATAATGTTTTTCCTGTACTGACATAGCATTGACATAATGTTTGAAGTATTCCATAATAGTATTGAATGTGCAGAAGAAATTGTCCCAAATCTGCCATAGTGTTTCTCGCAGGAATGTCTGGAAAGAGGCCTTTCAGCTGTGGATTAGGTAACCTGGGTTCTTTTTCCAGAGCTGCTGGAGGTCTTCCCATGGTCTCACCAAATTGTTTCATTAACCGTGCCTTTGTTTTCCCACCTGTAAAGTGGGATATGGATAATAATATTTTTGTGAAAGACTGAAAAAGCCTGTAGCAGAGGGAACCTTTCTGTGGACATTGTCATATAACATACCTTGCTGGTTCGCTAAGTTTCAGTCTCCTGTTTATCCCCTTAGCATGTATGTTAGTACCTTTCTGAGCTCTTCAGAATGAGTGAGGTAAGTGATGCTGAAGTAAAACCCCAGGGTAATTTGCAGGATAACTTGCTCCAGGTGTCATTCTGTGGGTGTGTATATATGCAGGTATGCATACAAACATATAAATAAATGTAAAATCCTCCAGTGTTGTCAATGGGGAGCTCGTATCTTCAAATATCCTGTATGTCCCAGGACTTGGAGCATGTATCATTCTCAGTGTCATTGTATAAAAAGACCATGTGGAAAGCTGTAGTTGTGTTGTTGCACATACTTGACTCAAAATAAATAACTGAATGTATATAAACTAAGAAATAATGAATATATAAACACTAATATAATGAATATATATGAACTAATAAATAACTGAATATTGACCTTGGGTCGCAGGCGCTCCAGAGGCGATGTGGCCCAAGCACTGTGCCATGTGGGCATGGCCTTCTGCTGTGGACATTCTGCTGAGTGACCATGAGCTGTTCTCCACCACTTGGCCTCGGTCCCTGGGGAATGAACATTCTCTGGAATTAATGCTTTTTGTAAACTGAATCTTGTCCTGTTTTTAAGAGGCTTGAACAGAACAGGTCTTAAGATTTGAAACGAGTAGTCAGAATTATTATGAATGTTTTTGGAGCACGCACAGGTTGAGAAAGGCTCCAGGCCAGAGTGATAGGAAATGATAAAGCATATGTTGCATTCTCTGCAGTAAAAGCTTCCGTGCTGTGTTCCACTCCTTTCCTTGTGCCTATTCATTCTGTTGCTGAGGTATTCTTCTTCAATGACAGAGCATTTTTAGGCTCTGTTTATCTGCTGTAATGCGTAGTCTCTCTTTGCTAGACCCCTCTACTGTCATTGTATTCAGCTACGAGAGTGTGGTTAGAGGAACTTTCTCCAGCAGCTTGCTATTCCCTTGTCCTCTGGCTGCACTCTTAGCATTATCATGAGCTTCTGATAATACACAGTTGTGTAGTCTGTCTACTAGTATCTTTTACACATAACAAAAGGTGCTTTGATCTGGAGGCTTACTTACTAACCTCAAGTAAATAGTCACCGATTTCTTCAACAAATATGTCCCTCGTACATTCAGTACTGGAACACTGCTCTCCAGCTGTTCCAGGAGTTGATTTTTGGATCACTCTTACTATTTCTAGCTCATTGGGGACAAATAATATTTAAGATATTAACATTTAATAGCAATATCAACATATTTAAGATGTTAAACAATATTTAACATGTTAACATTTTGTACACCTTGATTTGCAGACATGCAGGATATACCTATTGTGGATCTTGTGCAGCCCACGCTTACAAACAAGTGGATCCTAATATTACGTAAGTATAAAAGTTTTTCTTTACAAAGTGTAAGGTAATGCCACTGCAATTTTCTGAGAAGTTGGATGTTCTTTTTACATTGTTAGACCTCTAAGTACTCAAATTTTAATTTTGTACTCTTTTTAGTCTTTTATGCATCCCTTCTGTTTTAACATCATAAATGTTCAAATTGTTTGGATGTTACAAAAGAAAAAATTAATGTAGTGTTGTTGAAAATGTAAAGCAGTATTTTCAAAAATTATTGAGGATTATTGGTAACTAACTTTTTAGAAGGGAGGGGTTAAAGATGTTCTTTTTGCAGGTAAAAACATTTAATTTACTTTATTGCTTTTTATAAAAGCCCAGGCTGGGTTTTTTTTTTACTGGTTGCAGGGTGTGTTTGTTTCTTTTTTGTTTTGTTTTTGTTGGGAGGTTTTGTTTGGTTTTTAAGTATGTTAAAATGTTTGATCATGATTCTGCATTGGTTTTTCAGTGCAGGATTACAGGCTGAATGCTATCAGGATTCTCTTCTGCTGTGGAGAAAGTGTCCAGTGTGTGTATACAATATTTGAAGTCAGTGAAAGTTACTTGCTGTAATAATTTTAAATGGACTTGTGTTTCTAACAGCAAAACAGTTTGAAGAAAAAAAAAAAAAAAACCCCAACACGCTACTGTAGTCTGTGCCTGCCTCTGAAAATATGAATCCAATTATTCTGGGTTAAAGGAATATAATTCTTATGTGTTCTGCTGACTGCAATGTTTTTTTAAATGACAAAAATTTGAAACATCTCCAGTATTTACTCGAAGTATGTATTTTGCAATGTTAATATAAAAACTGGCTATGTCTATTAGTTGCTTATGAGATAACACATTGTAATGCTCTCCAAAGGCAATGGTTTTGATACTTTCTAAACGATTGTAAACAAAGTGAAGATAACTTACAGTGTGACAGATAACTAGTTTTTCTAAAATTTCTAGAACAAGTTGCATTCCCCAGGTTCAGTGACATGGAGTTGATTGAACTTTCTGGATCATTTGCTATTTTACCACATGGGATGTTTAGAATTGGCCAGTCATTCATCTTTCAGCTGAAGTATTGCACATTTGTATATTTTGTTTTTATGAGCCCTGTAAAAAGTTTTACTATTTTAGTATAGCTTGCTATAGCACTCCACATGTGAGGGGAAAAAGAAAAAAATCTTTGCATGTCTCCCACCCCTTTAGTTCACTGTCAGAAGCAAGATGATATGATCCTGAATCTGAAAAGCTGAATTTCCTATAGTTTTTTTTTTTTTTTCTTCTTTTCTTTAAGTCCTGTGGCAGGAGACCCTTAACATCTAATCAAGAGCCAGGAACTGAGGACTTGATGAAATAACATTATGATGATGCATGAAAGTTTGCAGTATCAGCTAAAGCTACAAATGTGCAGGTTCAACACAAGTTGAAGTTCCTGTTGCACACATGCAAGTCCCTGTTGTTGATGCAACAGCTGGATAAAAACAGCATTTGAGAATCGCTTAAATTTGAATTTAGTGAAATCTGAAGTAAAGCTAATCAAGTAAATAAGAGAAAAGCTCTGAATAAATGATAAATCCATGATCCTCATTTGAGGGTGCATACCTGTAGTTGTTGAAGGTGGTGCGTAACTGAAGGTTGTCTTGGTCCAAGGAGAGAATCCAAAAATCTGTTCTAAGAGACTATAACACATCATCCAGCCTCCAAATGAGTCCAGTCGGACAGATTTCTAGCTGATGAGTGCCCTCTGATATATAACCTGCTGAAGAGGTTTAAGGCTACGGGAAGCATTATTGAACTGATCTCATGATCATTTCTGAGGTACTGAGCAAGGCTAGGCCATGGATTTGATCTGTGGTCTTACACGCAGCAGAGGAAAACTATTGGTAACCACCAGAAAGTATCACTTTGTACGTTTTTATTAAACTTGTTACTCTAAACCCAGTCTCTGTACAATTGCAGTTGTCTAAATTGTGGGCTTTTGTGTTAATTGTTGTAGCCGAAAAATTTTCATTCTTGGGCCTTCCCATCACGTGCCCCTTTCCCGATGTGCACTTTCCAGTGTGGACATTTATAGAACACCTCTGTATGATCTCCGAATTGACCAAAAGAGTAAGTGCATGATAAAGCTTACATCTTGAAGATTGCTGAGGCTTGAGTATTAACTGTGGTACTGCAGTGCTGAGGACTCTCTTGTTGGGCACTTCATTGCTTTTAAATGGCATACAAGCATACATCTGGTTTTACTGCAATGAAGGCTAACTTCTGAAAAATCCTGGTGGTTGCAGACATTGGTGTATTATAACCTTAATGTCTCTCTTGCTCCTGCAAGTAAAGAACTCTCAATCTTTGCTTATCTTTCCCATTATGAGTTCGTGCCTCTTGACAAGTGATCTTTAAAAGGGATGTCAGAAAGTGTTACATTTGAATAATAGCTCACTAAGCACCTGCTCCATTATTCTGTGAAGTATTCTGTCTGGAAAAAAAACCATAGTGCTTGAGTTGGTTTGAGTTTATTTCTAATAGAGGAATAACAGAGGAAGAAAAAGCTGCTTTTATTTGGATGCATTGTTGCATGTGACTTTTTTTTTTTTTTTAACTGGCAGAGTACCTATGGAACTTAAAAACTTAGTCCATGAAATACCAGTCTTTCAGACTAAGCTTAAAGGTGCAATGAAGATAAATTTGATATTTTGACTTTCATGCGTTTTTGAGGTAGACCTAAATAATACAATACCTTTTTCAGAAAGGCTAACTAGCACAGATGTATTACTATTTTGTCGTGGCTGTGATTAAGCAAGCTAGTTCAGGCTTTCAACGTAGTGCCTGCAGAAATTTCCTTAGGTAACAAATGTTTTGGTTTCTGTAGAACTCCTTTATGGAGTGGAGAAGGAGGCACAGCCCTACGTCAAATTCTTCATCCAGTGGAGATTTTTCAAAATGTAGAGATGACTCTGCATACCACCAAGCACACTTGAGAGTAGAAAAGATAACTTATAAATGTGGATTACTTAATCAGTTTTTGCTGTTTTCAGATTTCATGATTCAGTTAATAATAAATTGTATTAAATAGTTACACATCCCTCAATGGCTCAGCTGATCAGCAACTTTTTTTTTTTTTTTAACAACGTATGATTTGTGTAATCTGTGAAAATAAGAATTAAAGAATTCAGTGACTGGGCAAATGCATACATATTTTCAAATGTGTTTTATTTGTGTTACTTAAATTTTGTATCATAACTGAAAATCTTTCTCAATATGCTAACAAGGTCACTGATTTAACACACTTATTTTGTAAACTGAACCAATTGTGTTTGTATCTTAATGACTTGAACAGAATTTTAATCCTGAGTTTATTTAAAAACCAAATGGTTTATGATGACAGCCCTTGGAGGCAAGTAATTTGTTACAGTGGGCTTGTTCTCATACAGATGCACTGTAGCTTGCTTTACAGTGTCTTAAAAAAAAGTAGTAAAAATTAATCTTTAATTCATTTCAGTTTATGGAGAATTGTGGAAGACTGGAATGTTTGAGCGTATGTCCCTACAGACAGATGAAGATGAACACAGTATTGAAATGCATTTGCCTTACACTGCTAAAGCCATGGAAAGGTACTAGGGCTAATTACTACTTCTACAAGAATGAGCATTACGTGCATTAAATGCTTGAACTACATGTGAAGTGCAGTAGGAAGTAATAATACCCTTTATGGTATATAATACCCTATATGGTGTATAATACACACACTTCCCCATCCCCCAATAAAAATTTTGGGGAGGAGAAGGTCAGAGTGGGATTAGTTGCTGTAATAGAAACTGTGAGTGGAGCAAACACCTGGCTACTGAAATTGGAACACCCCTTATAAACAAGTTTATGTGTTTATATTGACTTAATACAGTTAATATTAGACATGCTTTCATGAATCTTTCTCAATAGCTGATTTTTTTTTTTTCCGTTTTTGCAAGGCATCTCTGAAAGACGTTCAAATACTAATAGCTGTTTTCTCTGGGATTTTAAGTTTGTTTGGAGCCTTAATGCTAATATTGAAATCAGGGTTCTGCTTACACCTGCTATTTCAGATGAGTACTTTGAATAACTTTCTTTAAAGGTGATAATTTTTGTCAATTTGTGGTGGGTGTTTTTCCCCCCATCTTTTTTTTAACTTTTCTTCCATAGTATTTGTCATTTTCCCTGGAGTATCAGTATACATCTGGGTGCTATCTTGAGCATTTTCATATACTTTGGAAAATTACCCAACATTTGTGCAGCATCTATACAAGGAGAATTTAATTCTTACTTTATTGCTGGTTTCATTGTGTCAATTCTTTTTGCCTGGTGTTTTCACTTTGCAGCAAAGATAAATACTGGTTGGGGAGGGGGGTTGTTTTCTGAAATTGAAGTAGTTTCAGGTTCTGAAACATCTTCATAGCATGACCTTACCAAATTAACCGTATCTTCTGTTCAGTAGTGCCCTTTTAAAACATTCTGCAATTTCAGTTAGCAAGCCCTGAAAAAACTTCAGATGTTACTTGAATTACAACCTCTTTTCTTTTGCTTATAAGCCATAAGGATGAGTTTACTATTATTCCTGTGTTGGTCGGAGCACTGAGTGAGTCAAAAGAGCAGGAATTTGGAAAACTCTTCAGTAAATACCTAGCTGATCCTAGTAACCTCTTTGTGGTTTCTTCTGACTTTTGCCATTGGGGTAAGTTTCACATCTCTTCATTATAACAGTATGATGAATATTTTGTAGTGATTTTCAAATAATGTATTTTATTAAACATTGAACATTTTAACTTCTGGTAAATGCATCTTTGAAACTTAAATGCCTTTGTAAAGCTAAAAAAGGATTTTTTCTTTTTTTAATCTGGAACAATAGATGAAAAATATTAATGTGGTAATGTGTTTTCAGTGTAGGGGAGGAAATAAATGGTGAAGGTGCATGGGTCTATATGCATCTCTTTACTGTTGCAATTAAATAAGCGTCTGAAGTTTCTTGCTCTTTTTACTCTTCTTTTAAGCACCTCAAAGAAACTTGCAAAACTAATTAGCTAAAAATTCACTGGACATGGCAACATCCCTCTGACAGAAATAAGTTTTGTACGTTTTACTGCTGGGTAAGATAGCAGATGGAGTATTTATGCCGATTCACCAGAGCTATCCCAGTTCATCTTGGTGGCAGAGCTATAAAGACTCCAGAAGCCTTGACTTCTGTCCTGCTTTAATACTTCATTTTTCTTTTAAGTGTGGTAATAGCTGGAAAAGGGATTGCTTCAGAAAGATGTTTTATGTTACACAACAGACCTTCTTCCCTTTTTTCATTGTCATCTTTGGTCAACTTACATAATTAAGTGCATATTTTATTCATCTTTGAATTATGGAATAGGTGGAGGTATATAAGAATGACCTGGGTTCTGTTGTGGCTAATGAACCATCTAGAACTGTTCATTGAATTATCATGAACTCTTTCTTTTAACCTTTATTTACTGTGGGTATTGTTGTGGAAGCAGAAGTAGCCTGACTCCAGGGTTGACTTTGTCAAGAGGGATAGCGAAATGAAATGTTGCTTTACTTTTTAATTTATAGAATTGGATTCCAAGGCAATAACAGGCAATTAATAAGTGATACTGCAGTGTCAGTTCTACATTGTAGGTTTTTCTTTAGGAATATAGCTGCCCGTCATGTATTTTTTACTTTGCTTCTGGGCTGCTACTTTGTGATTGCCCTAGAATTTCCTCAGTGGAACTAAAACGTATAAAATAAATGAAGATTACTACTTTACAAGTACTATAATTTCAATTATTTAGTAAGTACTAGGGAGTGTTTTAGCTACGATTTTTCCCTTTTTTATTTTATACATGATTTTTGTTTCAAGGTCAGAGGTTCCGTTACAGTTACTATGATGAATCCCAAGGAGAAATTTATAGATCCATTGAGCACCTAGATAAAATGGTAAGTTTTCAGATTTGGTGGAACTAACTAACAAATTTCTCCTGTACATTACATTTCTTTGAACACTTTAGAAATTTCTCTAACCAAATATTATAGATTAGCTATTTTATTGAATGTATACTTTTCCTTTGCTTACCACAATAAAAACTTAGCTGTTGTTTTTAGCTAGTATCCTCCATTTTAATGACTGCACACATTATATTGTGGGTATAATCTAGTAAGCATAATTTATGAGAATAAATGCATGTTCGCCTACCTAAAATGCCCTAGTGTAATGTAATTCCTGTCCACATACCCTCTTAGGTTTTTGAGAAGCAGTAAGAATTATGAATCGAGTATTGTGGTAGTTCAGGCTTCATAGCTATGATACCTGCATATCGAAACAGCATTGTGATTATGTTAATGGTTTCAGCAACATCCATTTTGAGGAGGGAAGGCTGTAGGGGATTGTGCTGGTCAGGAAAACGAAAGTCACCACTTCCTTGGGAGTAGTCTTCCCCCTGCCCCTTACTCTGTAGTAGGTGGTGGGGAAAAGGCAGTAGACCGTACTTCATTCTGGGTTTGGCAAATAGCTGAAAGGAATGCTAAATACATAAAGATCACGATGCCAATTATGTTGCGTTTTCTTTGCAGTCACAGGAGCCAAGGATTTCTTTTTAAATGAAAAAATTTTGTTATTCAAGACTATACCTAAGGCACAGAACAGAAGTAATTCTTCTGGAAATATGCAACCTTAAAATTTGTTTTAAAACTGTTTGGATCATTCATGTAGCTTCTGTAAAATCTGTTAGAAGACAGAACTGTTGTAATACAGGACATGTTAATTTTTTTCCTTGTCTTGAAGGAATAAATCCTATCTGCTGGAGACATCTCTGGAGTTTTTTGCTTTGCGTATCCATATTAACCTCTTTGTTTTTCCACTATTCATCGCTGGAATGGAAACAGTAAATAATTTGCCTTCATTCTATTTATCCAGTTTTTTAATAATTCTTGTTGTCAGTTGAGAGGTTTCTCTATAAAGACAAGTGTTTTTCTAGAGAGTCCCAGAATTTGCAGTTCTGACTGTTTTTGCAGGAGAGCAGATTAAGCTGCATTAGCAAACATTAGTTTCCCCTTGTTAATTTCTGTGGTGAAAGCTTGTAAAAAGACTGGACTTCAGCATTTAATTACTTCTAGTGAATACATTGCTGCACCAACTCTTTCTTTTGGTAGTTATTCAGCCAAAAGGAAATGACATTTTTTGTAACACTGAAAATGATGTCTACTGTTAAAGAACTATGAAAATACTTTATCAATCTTAAGTTTAACTGGAAGACTAAACATGCTGCGTAGCAGTATAATGTGGTTATTTTTTGCCTGTTTATATCATGCCATATGTAAACATATGACTAGATTCAAACTCTGTGCAGAGCGGGTTTTGCTTTCAGTGAATTTCAGAAATTTTAGCAGTGTTGTGGGTACACTTGGGATGCTATCCACAATGCCACAAAGATCTCCCTGTCATGTTTCTCCAGCTTTTGGAAGGAGTTTATTCAATTTTATATGCCCCACTCAGCTACTTCTTGTTTCCTTAGATAAGTATTGAATTTTTTAATGTCATTTGGTATGCTAAAGAAACTTGTATTGTTGTAACCACTAGGCCTTTCCACAGAGAAAATAGCATTAAGATAGAGATAAAACTGCATTAAAACCATAAGAGGTTTTAACTTCTGCTATTACTGGCCCAATAATTTTATTGGACCTCACTAGCAAAGCAGTCGGATGAGCACTTTTATAAGCAGGAAGGTATTCTGGGTTAAGATGAAATTACTTTTCCTTAGAAATGCCCTTGTTGGAGGACAATGGTCTCTTCCTTATTTAGACTGGACCTTAAGTACAGATGCATGATGTTTTTCCTGGCTAGTGCATAAACAGTGCTAAATGTTTTGGGCATTGGAGATTTACTAACCTGGTAACCGCTGTGAGAAATTTTATTTGCTGTGATTTTGAGTTAGAGCACTTAGACTCCAGCATAAAAAAAATCCAGAGTAGTAAATACTGCTGGGCAGACATCAGTTTCTCCATGGTAACTCTTAATGTGACCGCTCTGTTACCCTGGGGGTACCACAGTGCACCTTGTAAAGTGACGGTGAAAGGAATAAACAACCCCATGGTTAATAGGGGTACCTTAGGGAAGAATCCTCAAATGAAGAGTTATAATTGAGCAGCTGATGTGCAGTAATTTGTATATCATAACCTGATACCTACCATCTTTTTAAATAAAAGTGGGGGAGTATTCTGTAAGATGTCATTGAAGAGTAATTATTTTTTGATTATGGCTAGCCCGAAAATGCAGACTGCTTGTTTCAATCTTCACTGCCAGATTGCTCATTTTCTGTCTATTTGTGAAACCTTATGCTTCACTTGAGTCAATAGGAGGATTCTGTTACCCTGAATGCTGAAGGGGGAGGATAACGCAGGCGTTAAGGAGAGCTGTGTAGAACAGCCAGCGGTTGTTGTGCAGGAGCCATGCACAGCACGGGTGGCTTCTCAGGTGGCTCTAATGAACTGCTGAATTCTGGTGGCTTCTGCGGTGCTGCTACGGCGTGCCAGCACCTTCCACAGCGCTCCAGCCTGAGAAGGCTTCTTAGCTTGGGCATAACGCACAACCATGGCGCTCTGCCTCTGCTCTCTGCCCTGCTCTCTCTGCTGTGCCCAGCCACTAACTTCCCTGTTGGTTGTTCATCCTCTAGTCTGAGTGACTCCCACATGCAAAGATGCTTGGACTGGCTAGTGCTAAGACCAAATTTGTTTCTACTTCCATAAGTGTGCTACTAGTTTGTATTTTTTTTTAAGTGTGAAGAAGCAGCTGAAGTAACTGATTGCAAACTTACACTTGACCAGCCAAAGGATTACTGGAGTATGGTATAAAATAAGCCTGTGGGTTGTTTGTTGGGGTTTTTTTTGTTTGGGGTTTGGGTTTTTTTTTTGGTAAAGGTAAGCTTGTAGATACCTGGTCCTATAGGGGATGATACTTAAGGATGTAACTGCTTTTAATCATATCAAGTGCACTGTGCTAGGATATTGTAGATGCTATTTACAGTGTCTGGTTAACTGAGATACGCAATTTCTATGTGGTGCCATAATAACCATCTGATAAACTGAAGAACTGTGTGATGCATTTTTATCATGTGGGTTTTGTTGTGTATTCTGACTGTGTTCTAAACCATGCCTGGCTGAGTTACTTTGAGTACAAAAAATGATTAGCTTCATACTTCTGCTTTTTAGAAAAAAAAAACAAACCCACAACCTGACAAAAATGTTTCCTTTGTTCCTCAGCACCATTTTAGACTGAGAAACAAGCTTGGTAGTCTTTGCTTCTCTGCCACAATGATTTTTAAATCCAAAAGATTGAAAAGTTCAGTACAGCTGAATGCTTATAGGATATATGTTAAAACCCATTTCCTATGGATTTTCTCCAATCTGTGATGTATGGAACTCTGTTAGCATTTGCTGGGATGAACTGCATAGCTCTAAATGTTTTGCAGTGCTGAACTGTGCATTGAAATAAGCTTACTAGGCATTCTGATAAATCCATGTCCATTCGAGACAAATGCTCAAATGCCTCTGCCCAGTATGTTCCAGTGACTTACAGCTGTAAAATGTCAGTCAATTGAGCAGCCATTTTCATCTTTCTAAAAGTTGTGAAAGAGTTTACAAATGGATAAAATATATTCTTATGAGCTATTCCATATCTGAATAAGTGCCTTATGCATGTTTAGTTTCACCTGAGTATATAGTTAAGTTTGGTTCTGCTTTCTTTAGCTGTGTATTGACATGTACAGTTTATAAGTAAATGGATGATTCAAAGACATGCTGCTTAAACTTTAGCAATGCAATGATATCTATGTAATCACTGCTAGTTAGAGAATAGCTACCTTTATTTTTCTGGCTCTCATTTAGGTTCTGTAGATCTGGAGTGAGTAACAGCTGTAATTACTGGCCAGGGGTCCAAACACACTGAGCTCTTGCCAGCAATTGGTCAGCATAGTTTGGTTTTATTTTTCCATAAAATTTATCTCTTTATTAATTCATCTGATGTCTGTTTTTAATTGAAAGTACACAAAGGTGGTGGTTATGGTTGCTGTTTTGTAATCCTCCCTGACTCTCTCGGGAATCTCCAGCTCCGCCATTGTAAGCTGTGATCCAGTCTGAATAATTAGCGTATCTGCCAGATCAGCCAACGCCCTTGCAGAGTATTCAAGAGGTTTCACTCTTGAGGTGGAGACTTCAGACAGACTGACTGCTTCCTGCATCATGATTTCTCCTTTTATGACCCACACTTTCCCAAAAGCAGGGGAAAGCCTTGGGACAATTGCAGAAACCTTAGGAGAAATTCTCTCCCTTTCTGTTATCAACCTCCCGTTGTTCCCGTGCAAAGTATATGGGTTTTTCCAGTCTCTACAGCAAACCTCCCTGTTTCATCAGCTACATGTAAGAAGCACAGCTATGTGTCTTACTGAATTAGTGAGTGTCTGGAGCTCGTTTACCTGGAGAAGGAAATCAATCATTTTCAGGGGAAGGAGAAGCACAAGAGGATGGGGTCTAATACAGGCAAAATAGCAAAGCCATGATAAAGCCCAGACAATAATTGATTTAGACTTGCTTTAAACTACTTTCATTGTATTTGATCTGCTCTATGGGATGGGGTACGAGTAGGCTGTGTCTGGAGTTGTAAGATTCCTTTTGCTTTTAAGAATGTAAATGTTTGTACATGTGGAAGGTTTTGTTTTCCATACATGTTCTGGTTTTCATAGTATGACTCCATGGGATCATGGGTCGCACTGTGGATGGAGAAAAGGATGTATATATGTGACTGCCTCATATAACGTGGAAGCATCATCTCCTGGCTCTTAACGTTTCTGTCATGTACCGACTTTCTAGTGCTTTAGTGATGTTCTGGATCTGCTTTTTATGCTCTGAGCAGATAGATGGTCAGCCTGTGTGCAGATCAACTGCCTTGCATGCCTGATATGTCTAGGATACATTACGCTTGCCACGTGCTTGAATTGCATCTGTGTATATTGATGATTTGTCTAGGATTTTCGGACATCCAGAAGTCCCAGGCAAGTGCTCAGCCCTGAGCTCTGTTACCAGGGAGAAGAGGTGGAGGCAAAACTTCTTCCTACTTTGCCCTTTTAGTAAATTTGTCTGGTTATTGCTGTACAAAATCCTATGGAAGTAGGGCAGCTTTGGAGGTGGGGATCAGCTAGTCTGTGGGAGGAGCTTTTTTAACATGAGCTTCACTGGTATCTGCAAAGATAGCTTCACAGATCTGTGGATCATTGACAGCTTTGGAAGAGCTCCTGCACTTTTAGTTTGGCAAGAGGTGGTAACAAGATGACTACAAGCTAGAGCTCACATGCTGAGATTCCCTTGATACACAGTAGAGGTTTTTTCCTCCTGAAGTATTCTGTGTTGTCATAAATAGGTGATGTATAAACACTTGCTTATGAATGTGTGAAGTAATCATTGCTATTGATTCTTTTTCAGGGTATGAGCATTATAGAGCAGCTAGACCCTGTATCTTTTAGCAATTACTTGAAGAAATACCATAATACAATATGTGGAAGACATCCTATTGGCGTATTATTAAACGTAAGTAACTTCTGATTTTTTGAAAAATGTAACTTTTAGCAAAATGCTTACATTTGTTTTAAATACAATATTGCTGGAGTATTCCTTAGTTCTAAAATGGCAAGTCTTGGATTAATTTATTTTTCCAAGTGTTCTCAACTTGGTCTCCCATTTCCATCTCTTGCATATAGACAAATGTAAGCTCTTACAAGGGCTGAGGGTTTTCAGTTCCCTAAGGGAGATGAGGTGCCATGTTCCTTTTGAATTTCAATGAAATACAATCATTCGCTTTCTCTTGGCCCTAAATAAACAAATAAATCCATCTCCCTGAAGAAGTACATACTTACTCTTTTGAGTCATTAGTTACAAACGTATATATTTTTTTCTGTATTGCTATTAGCCAGCTATTGCGAGTGCCTTTTAATGTCTGGCAGCGTTGCTGAGTTTTGACAATACGATGAGAGATTGCCTCAGTAAGTATTAGTGCAGCGCACTGTTAACTCATAAATTAATGGCAGTTAGAATTCAGATTAACTGGTACTTTCTAGTTACTGTATTCTGCTTTGGTGATGCAGTGCAAACATAAACCTGGCTTAACTCAGTTGTCTAAATTGGGTCACAGCTGCTTTACAGCACTGCTGGAGTGCTGCAGATTTGTCATATTGCTTGAGTGAATCTCACTGTGTTTTTTACTGTAATTCAAATCTGAAACAGGAAGCATGTTAACCTTTTTAAAAGGGAAAACTTAATTCACTGGAAATGTAGTCTGTATGGAGAACGTATAGAGGAACATTTTAAACTGGAGTCTGTAAAAGTTTGTATAAGCAATATCAATACTGGGGATGCATGTAGCAAAATCCAGTACTATGACAACTGCAAAAATACTCAGCTCTTAACCTCAGATAATGATAAGTTTTGCAGTGAATCTGAGCTAAATTCTGTTCATTCACTTTTGCCAGTTGTCACACTTTAGTAAATTATCTTGGTACATTCTTTTTCTTTAATGGAAGAAATACGATCTGAAAAGTGTTAATAGGTTGGGGTTTTTTTCTGTTACATCTGTGTTTCTGTATAAATTCCCTATGGAACTGAAAGCATTGTTTCTGAAGGTTCTATTTTGAAAGGTTGTTTAGTGTTGCTTTATAGAACTGCATGGATGTACATAGTGCAGTGGGGGGGTGTCAGTGAATGAAACAGCACAAAAATGGGTTAGGTCCACAAATTACTTGGAGATGCTTATATTATTATCGGAGATCGTGCAAAGACCCCCGGGTGAGGGGAGAGGACTGAGATCTAGAAAATGTCATAATTTCACCAATACATTCTTTTAAAAAGCTTTTTTTCCTCTCTTCAGGCTATCAACGAGCTCCAGAAGAATGGAATGAACATGAGCTTTTCATTTTTGAATTATGCTCAGTCAAGCCAGTGTCGAAACTGGCAAGACAGCTCAGTGAGTTACGCAGCTGGATCACTTATGGTCCACTGAACCGATGAATG